TCTCGGTTTCGATGTGGGGGGGGGAGGAAAGGGGCGACAGGCGGGTCATTGAGGTTGTCGGAGATCGGTGAGCTTCTGTTTAGTGGTGGTGGGGTTTTGTGTGCAGCGAGGGGGCACGGTTAGAGGGGGAGGGGGGGGGGGAGGAAAGGGGCGACAGGCGGGTCATTGAGGTTGTCGGAGGTCGGTGAACTTCTGTTTGGTGGTGATGGGGATTGTTTTCGGGAACGTGAACAGCACCCACGGAAGTTTTTTCGAAGTAAGGAGTGCTCAGTTCGAGCGGTTCTTTCAAGTCCATGTTTGCGTTGGGTCGTACAGCGCTACCGTTATCAGTTTCAACAAGAAGGTTCTCGCTGCTGCTGTACACCTATTCGTTCTCAACACTTTAGCCCATTGCACCAGTATACCAGTATTGCTCCATTTCGACCTCATTGTGCGCCCACCCGCCATGCGACCACTGGCACCCCCCCTGCGTGCCGCCTTTTGCAGGCCTTCTGCGTCTGCCTACCCTTTGCACCCCCGCTCCACTTCGACCTCATTGTGTTCCCACCCGCCGTGTGACCACTGGCACCCCCCCACACGCACCACCATTCGCAGGCCCCCTGCTTCCGCCGGAGAGGCCTCGGTCATCCCCTTCGGGGTTGGGGAGGGGAGATACGGGGGCGGGGTGGTGCAGATCCCGCTGCACTTTTCCGTTGGGGAGACCGTTGACTTCATCCGAACGATCGCCACCGTGGATAGGGACTACCGTAGGGAGTTGTCGTCGCCGCTGGTGCATTTGCCGGAGGGGGGCGGGGGGGAGGCAGCGGCTGCGGATGGGATGGGGTGAGAGAGCGGGGGGGGGCGCCCATCAGGAAGCTCTGCTTTTGGTGTACGGTGGTCGTGGTTTTTCTGTTTTGAGACACGTTGAGCTCGCGTATGTTGTCACCGTTGATGTCGGTGGTGTTGCTGTTTTACTGTAGTTGTTGCGCTGTCGTAGTTATCATCGTTGGTGGCGGTGGTGCTGCCTCTTGGCTACCTCCCCATGTTACCGCAACGTTCTCAAACTCACCAAATACATGCAGTTCCTCCCCAACATCAACAAATGCCAAGTACCATGAAATTTGTACCCACCCCCCCTTTTTTATTGCTTTGGTGTGTGTTTGGCCCATCCTTGGCCCGCCTTTCGCCTGAGCTATATGTTCGTCTTCACATTCATCATTTTTCGCCGGAATGGCGTGCTTCTCGAATCCAGGTCCTCCCTGTCGAGCCGCATTTATGTAACCGAAAACGGCACGCTGAAGGGGTACATCACCATGGCCGTCCTTCTGACACACCAATCGGAGACACCGGTGGCCGAGCTGCTGCGGGAGCTGGAAGAGATGCTTCACGAGGTATTCTTGCTCGAGTAAAAATGCATACCGATACATTCAAAAAAATACTGTTCATATTTAACGACAACAGTTTTTCGGGTTTTGTTTGTCTTTTCCTCATGGGGCGGGGTGGCCGGTGTGTAGGGCGGGTGGTCGATATAGTACGCGCGAATCTCTTGCTCCATTTTTTGAATGGCGTTGGTTCTCCCCCCTTTTACGCCCAACTAACCTCATGTGTTGATCACGACTACCTTCTAGCAACAGTACCTTCTTTTGTGTGTGTGCGAATGTTGTGGTCTACTCGCAAAGGGTAACAGCTGGGAGCATACATGCTTCTGTTCTCCCCGCAACGTTAAACCAGTCTCAGGTGTTGCTCACAATTATCTTCAACAGCCGTGTGACTGTTTTGTTTTTATTTTTAGTGTTTTTTTTCTTGGTCTGCTATACTCGTAAAGGGTGACAGCTGGGAGGACGCGGCCCACAGGTTGCGCCAAGCCAACGTCCTGGCGGCACCTGTGGTCGACAGCGATGGGGTGCTGGTCGCAGTTCTCAACCCTTCCGATCTTCTCCAGGTGGGTTGTGGGTGCTGTTGATGATGTTGCCGATGACGTCGCTGTCGTGTTTTTGGTGTTGTGTTTTGCTTTTTGACCGGAGAGGGACATGCGCGCTACAGCTGCCACACCCCATCAATTCAATGTCTCAATACGTCTGTACTTGTTTTGCTTGATAATTTTTGTTTCCAGAGAGGGAGATGCACACTACAGAAGCAACACTCTTGTGAATGTGAATATCGCAATACGTTCATACTTGTTTTACTTGATACTCTTCACATGGGATTATGTGACAGCAAGGAAGACAGAAGTTGTAGAAGGAGTGCGGATGCGCTAGCATTCCGACTTGATGCACACTTGGATGTCTTGTTTTTTTTTCTGCAGGAATTGGAGATAGAAGCGACGGATGACGCGCTCCTGTTAAGTCGCCATGAATGGTGTTTGTTGAATTACAGAAGAATGATTTGAGGGACACAAGATGGCGCTACAAAGTATTTTCGACTTGGTGCACACTCGATGGCTTATTTGATTTCTGCAGGAAATGGAGATGGAAGCGGTGGATGACATCATGCACTTGATGCACACTTCATCGCGAGCTTGCTTTGTGAAGGACATTCGGGCACATGTAGAATTGTTTTCTGCAGGAAATTCGGGTATATGTAGAAGCTATCGATGACACCGTGCACTTGATGCAGTCTAAATCGTTGTTTTTCGCGTGTTCTGCAGGAAATGGAGATAGAAGCGACGGATGACATTATGCGGCAGTCGGGGTCCGGCGGAGGGGAAAGCTACTTCGGTACCCCCCTCCCAAGCCTGGTGGCCTCTCGCGTAGGGTGGCTGGTGAGCGGCATACAGAGTATCCGTTTTTTGCTTTTTTTTATAGAAAATGGTTATTTTCTTTCCCTTGAGTTGACCCCGTCGTACCGTGAGCCCAGGGTTGGAAAACTGGTGGAAAGTTTGAGAATGATTTCAATACTGTTAATGTGGCCCGTCACTCTCTCTGCCCAACCACCTTGTATTTTTGTTTTGAGAAGATGTTGTTCAACGGGTCAGTTTGGTATTTTGGGTCCTTTTTTTCTTTTTCACAGATCGGCAGTTTTATGGGTTGTTGTTACCACAAATATCGCTTGTTTGTCGAACGAACCATGCGGCAGGTGAGCTTGCTGTGCCTTCAGTCCTTCTCCTCACTCATCCTTCAGAGCTTCCAGAACGTCATCGAGAAAAACATCGTCATAGCCCTCTTCTTGACCATGCTCACCGGAACAGCCGGGAACGCCGGGAATCAGGTGGGTGGCCAATCAACCATTGTGGAACGTGAATTAGGCGGGTGGTCAATCAACGGTTGTGAAAAGTGAATCAAGTGGGTGGCCAATCAACGGTCGTGAACGGTGAAATCAGGTTGGTGGCCAAATCAAGCATTCTGACGTGTGAATCAGGCGGGTGGCCAATCAACGGTTGTGAAAAGTGAATCAGGTGGGCGGCCAATCAACGGTTGTGAAAGGTGAAATCAGGTGGGCGCCAAATTAAGCATTCTGACATGTGAACCAGGTGGGTGGCCAATCAACCGTTGTGAAAAGCGAAATCAGGTGGGTGGCCAAATCAAACATTGCGAAACGTATTTATTTCACAAGTAGGTTGCCAAACGTATGCGCATCACAAGTGGCACAAGTTTTGCATGTTGTTCCCGAAACAAAGGGAAACCGATAAACCCCGCTGGTTGTAAGCGCGAACATCTTCTGCGTCCCTGCTCCTCGGCGGCAATGCGCGCTACGTCCCGCACGTCCCTGAAGTCGGTACTCGGCGCATGACGTTGGAGTCTAAAGCCTTGGATACACACGTACATGCGTTACAAGTTGAAGCTGGGCCTGCGAGACTTACGGCGTATGAACAAATACCTCTACAACAACCAACTGGCGAGACACGACTGACTGTTACCGACTTCTTCGCTGAGAACAAGAGGGAGGAACTCACCATGCATGCCCCTAACAATCGCGGGGGCGCTTCGTAGGCGAGACCGTCGGGGGGGGGGGGGGGGGCCCAG